CTGAACTAACTAAGACTTGGATTGCTCTCATTCGTTACGATTGGATCTTCGGGGGAGGGCTAGGTAGTGCACCCATCCTACGGTTTTGATGGGCAGCTGCTTATCGTTAACGACTGTTCATCACATGTCTGTCCAAACAAACCAATTGCCAATGTTTAGGGACGCTGGACCCGCTTTCCAGCAGGTGCTGCTCCCCACCAATAGATGGAGCCTCCCCGGGAGTGCTAGTGGTGTCTGCTTCTATCAGCACCCCTAGCAGTTGCTCGGGCTGTTTGTTGGAGAAAAAAAAAAAAAAATGAGAGAAAGGAAGAAATGGCTGGGGAAATTCCTAATGCCCGAGGAATTTCCTTACGAGTGTTTTCACTTTTTTTTTCGGATTGCATCCCCGAGGATAGGTGGAATGAACAATTCCTTGGGGACATCACGTTTCCGAGGAGTGTCTAACGACGCCCTAAGAGGCTCGCCACAAAGGCTGTCGAGTTTCAACAGGTGTCAGAAAAAAATTGAAAGTCGGTGGCCGACAGTTTACCCCCCTTTTGCCACATAGGCTGTCGAGGGGCAAGCTTTTGGTCATGGCCAGGCCCACTCTGTCACCTGACAATGCAAAATCAAATGCAATTATTATTTTCGAAAGGTGGGCGGGCAGCTGTCCAATTCAGTCACCTGCAGGCTGGAGGAGACGATTGCTTTTTTTTTTTTGGAGGAAATGATTACTGGAGGGCGGCATTCTGACACCTGTCCAAATTGTTTTGAGCCGCAATTCTTTGAAAGTCTGTGTGGAGATGCAAAATTGTTGAAAAGGGGCCTGCCGGCCTAGCTCAGTTGGTAAGGCAAAGAAGTTGCATTCAGGAGGTCGTGGGTTCAATCCCCATCGGCCTCAGGTATGGGCCTGGGCAAGCTTGGTGTTCTACCAGCTAGAGATAACCGGTTGGCCCCCCAAGCCAGCATTGGCAGGACCTTGGCTGATGTTGTTGGCTGCTATGCAGCGACAATATTGGTCATTAGACACCGCCATGTGGGGTTGGGGGGGGGTAGGGGGAGGTGCAGTGACTGGCCATTGCTCAGAGCTAGCACCGCCTATTTTCCCCATCGGCAATGCCTGCCCACCCCTCGTTACCGTGACGAGGGACTGGTACAGCCTTGCTCTCGCACCACAGCTGTGGTGCAAACCTTTTTTTTTTTTTTKTTTTTTTTTTTTTTTTTGTTTTTGTTTTTGTTTTTGAACAAATGCTCCAGTCTATTCGTGGGGAGCAGCACGTGCTGGGAACCGGGCCCAGCGTCCCATATCGAATTATACAAATCATTGAGAAAATTTGAGGTCTTTTGAGGACATTTGAGATACCGGGGCCATTACCCGGCTTTGGCTGAGAACAAACTGTGAAACAGAGACCTACGAATGCTCACTACTCTCAGGTTCCCTGACAAACCCTTCTAAGACTTCCCAACACCATCTTACTCCCTGCTGAGTTCTTCCAGGCCTCACGCCCCCACCCTGCTGGGTTACAGGGCAACACAACTCGCCCCAGCTCCGACCAGCATCATCCCAGCAGCAACCCTTGGTCGTCCCTTGCGATGCCCACCCCAAAGCATCCCCAAATCTCTCTACCAGGCCTCACGCTCCTGCATCAGGAGGTTACAGGGCAACACCCCAGCGCCGGCCAGCGTCGTTCTGGCATCGAATGGCCACAGATCATTGAGTATAACAGCATCAAAACTGCCTAAGATGGATTGCTAATACCGTATGTGCTACAATCTCAAATGATACTTTTTTTTTTTTTTTTTTTTTTTTTTTTTTTAACCACTAGTACCTTTGGCGTCGGCTTTCGACAAGTTTTTGCCAGCTCCCGAACTTTTAGGAGGCCGGGCCCGACAACAGCTGCCGTTGACCCCGTGGGCTGGGGAGAGATCCGGGTTGGTTGGTGTTCCCCCGTACTATAAATAGGGCCTCGTCGGACGGTAAGAAAAACGAAACGAAACGGCCTCCTGACTCGCGAGGGCCCTATTTCGCCGTTTCGCCTCGTTTCTGTGCTCACCGCCGCGCGAATATCCAAGCAGCCATGCCCTGATGGCAAATGGACAACCGTTTCCCTGAGGCTGGCAAGCACTACGGTCCAAGAATTTGGACGGACACGGGTTGGACGTTTGCGGTGCACTCGCGAGAATCCACAGGGCCTCCACCATCCTCACCGAGGACCCGTGACTTCTCGCGCGTTGCAGGCGGGGATGGGTTGTCAACCGGAAAAACCTCGCGAACGGAGAATCTGACAGCGTTCGCGAGTTCTTTCTGACCACAATCGCGTGGGTGCTATGCGGCGGTGCGTTCACGAAAGGAAATCGTTGTTTTGTTCGTGTTCTCTACCGTCCGGCGAGGCCCATAGACTAGTGAGAGGATGAGATAGATGCCTACTACCAACAAAGATGAAATAGATTGAGAGAAAAAAAAAAAAAAAAAAAAAAACGAAAACCTGGTTTTAGACAGCTTGTGTGGCCTC